TTGGGGTTCAATGAGTTTAAAGAACTCTGGACTGTTCTGAATGGCTGGAGACAACACTTCATCAGTTTCGACAGCGATAGGAGTGGAACAGTGGATCCTCAAGAATTGCAGAAGGCCCTGACAACGATGGGTATGTGTGACCAATTGTAGCTTTACCTTAACTGCTACACTGTGGTTTTGGTTTTTTCCTAACAGTAAATGCTATTTGAAGACAGCTTCTGTTTTCTTAGAAATTGTGTATATTCATAACTAAAATGAGTTCAGTCTTTGCTTGATTCTTTTTTAGTGGTCTTTTTTGCAGGCCTTTATCATTTTTTTACTGGATGATTTTTCTGCCTTTCAGGATTTAGACTGAGTCCCCAAACTGTGAATTCAGTTGCAAAACGATATAGTACCAGTGGCAAGATCACCTTCGATGACTACATCGCCTGCTGTGTCAAACTGAGGGCTCTCACAGGTGTGTTTTGTGAGGTAGTGTCCTTACCAGGAGTCAGAAGATAGTTTTTATGACATTTCATTTCTTAGTGCTTCCACACTTTTATTTCCTAGTTTTTTGCTTGCTTTAGTAGTTGCTTTTGTTGATTCTTAACATTGCTATTAAGCATATCTAGCATTATAATTTTATCAGAATTTTTTAGATTAGTAAGCAATCTGCCATTAAAATAATCTTAAGTAAATTTTTCTAAAATGTTCCAAAACATTACCAGGTAATTTGTATTTTTTTCCTCCATTCCTTTTCCTCTCCATCCTTCCTTTCTTCCCTCCTTCCTTCCTTCCATGCTAGGGATCAAACCCAGGGCCTTGCACACACTAGGCAAGTACTACACTACTGTGCTACACCTCCAGCCATAATTTGTGCATTTTTTAGCAGAATATGATTATGGGTGATGTGAAATGTTTGAAATGAGTGAAATTAAAAGTAAATCCTTTTCAGTAGGCAGGGAGGAAATGGGTGGGATATTTGATCACATCCCTTTTATTAGGTTAAGGATTTCACTCATCTCTTTCCAATTAAGCAATATCTATATTATAAAGAAGTTTGGAATTCTGTGCTTTCATCACAATTAAGTAATTGTCTCAGAAGCTGCATGGCCTTTATTGACTCTGGGATAAGTTACTTATACTGACTAGCTATATATTTTATTTTATTTTATTATTATTATTATTGGCAGTACTGTGGATTGAATTCAGAGCCTTGTACTTGCTAAGCAAGTGCTCTTACCATTTGAGCCACACCTACAGTCCTGGTTATATATTTTAAATGATACTGAGGTTTGAACCCAATACCAGAATAATTTCTTAGAAGACATACTTAAAGAAAAACTGTAAATTTTACTGTTGTTTTGCAGATAGCTTTCGAAGACGGGATACTGGTCAGCAAGGTGTTGTGAATTTCTCATATGATGATGTAAGTGTCAGTAAATTAAGAGCTAAATAGAGGTATCCCTTTTGCAGTTAGCTGTCAAGAACATCTTAAAGATGCCAGAGAAATCAGGAATTAAGTGATTGGGAGTTACCATCCAAAATTTATTAACTTTATTTACTATTAGTCTTTTTCATAGCTTAGACTACTGTTTGATTCATATTAAAAGACTTGGATTCACAGCCCAGCCTGTTGGATTTGTTGGCTGAGTCACTTAAGTACATTCCTTAATTGCTCTGATAGTGTAAGAATAAAGAAGATGTTAAAAAAAAAAAAGAAGAAGAAAAAGGATGTTGTAATGATAATCCTTTTTCACTGGACTGCTGGAAGATTTCAGTCAGAAATGTTCTTGAAGTACACCATGGAGATACTGTGTCTTGCTTTTGCTTTCTATAAACAAACCACATCTCAGTCATTGAAAAGTAGCTTTAACAGCTCAAAGCTATACTTCACAAACCTATGTTCATTGAAAACATAAAAGCAGACACCAACTTAATCACAGTGTAAAACAAGTTATTTACTGAGGCAGCCTAGAGAATAGAGAATGGTTGAACCTCTGAGGATATTTCTAAATGTCCTGAGCTTTTATTTCTTTTTCTGTAAAATAGAGATAATCAGCTTGTTCTTGTGGAATTGCTGCAAGGATTAGCAGTGAACAGTGCCTTGCTGGTGTTGACAAGCAAAAAAGAAAATTGAAAGAAAGGGCGGAATTGATTACTGTGTGTTTAGTGAGGAGGGTCACACTTCACAGCAAATACTCATGCTCCCAAACTCAGGCTTTTCAATTACTGGAGAAGGGCCAGCTCCTTTCTTTCTATGCACATACATATTGCACACTAGGATTTACTTAAATACAGCAGAACTTAAGGGACTGAAGTATTTAAGGGTGTTCCATTAAACAGTGGGGTAAAACTCTGCAGTTTGTAAGTTCCCACATAATACAACAGTTACTTATATTTGTAGGCAGGTACCTCTGACCGTAACTGTTTCTAGAGTCTTAAAATTGGAGATTTAAATCATTCTTTATTGAACTATCTCCTTTTTATAAGAAGTGAGAAATCCATTGTTCCCCCCTCCCAAAAAAAACCTTTCCACCCATTATCTACTCATATCTTAGAAAGTTGTGTTGTTTTTTTTAATGAAAAATCCAAGCTTCCTAAAGATAGGCTGTCCTATACTGAGTGTTCTGAAGTCTGTTGTGTAACACTGACTTTTCTTTTTCAGTTCATTCAGTGCGTCATGACTGTTTAATTCAAAAGGAAGCAGCATGAACATAATCGACATTCCAACCGGAGTTCGCATTTGCTTACTCTTTGCCTTCAGTAACGTGTGCAAATGTTCATTGCCACTTTCTCCTACAGCCATTGTGAAGGTTTATTACTTTATACACAACTGAAGCTTTGTTTCTAGTTTTGATAATAAATTCTTAGGAACTTTGAGAATATAAGATCAAGTCTGTTAATCCAATTAGAACTTCTTGAGCCATTATCAGTCATGCCTTACTTTCCTGCTAAACCTCTTATATAAACCTGAGTATGCAAAATGCTTAAAGTGTATTTTATGTTTCTCATTGTGAGATATGAAAACCTTTTAATCAGGCAACAGCTGCTATCTTTCTACTCCTAGAAGAATGTGATTGAAAATTTTACGTGTGGAGTATTCTTATGTAAATGATGTAGACCCACTGAGATGCAGAAAGCAAGCAAACATCAGATGTAGAAATCCAGGTCAGAGTAAAAATTTACCTTAGAAATTTAGCACAGGTTTAACACTTAGACATCACCAGATGCAGTTGGTGTATGAAGTACTCAAGAGGCTAAGGCAGATGGGATTGTGAGTTTTAGGCCAGCCTGGGCTGCACAGCGAGAACTTTTCTCACAAACAACATCAAAACCAAAAAAGAAAAGAGAAGAAATAAAAAAAAAACCCCACATTATTTTGATAGCCTTTTGAGTGAACAGGGAATGTTGTGATTATTTTCTGCCTTTGTAAAAGCTACTGATAATTTGAGTGGCAAATATTGTCACCAAGACCTTGTCATCAAGACCTTGTCATCATCCAAATTTTTTGTTAACTATACTTAAAATTCTTACATATTATAAACTTGAACTTTGTAAAAAGACAATAGAAGAAGACCAAGGGATATCTGAAAATACTAACTGGTTATTTTCAGATACAAGATGGCTTTAATTTCCTTTACATATTTCAGTATTTCCCCAATTTTCTATAATGTGTATGCTTTCATTTTAAAATCAGATATATGAATTTTTAGAATATTGATACACACATTTTGAAATGTCATATGTTCATACTTTTAAACATACAACAAAAGGATTGGAATGAGTGTCTCAAAATGTTTATCTTGCCACCTGTGGGAGCCAGAGTCATAGGTTCACTTCACACACACACACACACACACACACACACACACACACAAAAAAAAAAACATGGGCTTTCAAGAGCTGGATTCCTCCACTGGTTTTGCCTCTTGCAGTGTGGTTTGGCCATTTTACATAACCTCAAGAGTCTCAGTTTCCCTATCTCTTTGAAGAGAGAACTTACCTCTTAATGTAGTTCTGAACATGAAAAGTCTGTTGGTACAACAAGCTCCAACAGTATTTCTGTTTCTTAAATTTAAAGCTGGCCTGGTTTGCCTCTTTTTTACAAGAGCTTACAGATAAAAAATGATTATTAGTCTATTTTCTCCTTGCCAGCAGTGTATGTGTCTTATTTTTGGGCATAATGTGAATGTAACATTCAAGTTGTCCACCAATTAAAATAAAAATTTTCTAACCATTTTTAGCCTCATTTCATTTAATATATTTTCAAATAGTGATAAAATTTACACTCATTCATTTCATAACTATTTATTCAACCCTCACTTATATGTTTATGACAACAGACTGGGCATAACCAGGTTACATGTCAGAGTATGAAGCATCCTGCTGTATCTTACAAGGTGAGTCTAGGTTTCATCCCACATATGTTGTTGGTGTGGCTACAAAAGCTTTGCTTGGACCTGGGCTGCCCAGAAAGGGGGAAAGGGGTGCTCAGTGGACCAGAAGGCAGGGACTCTTCCTTCAGAGTCCCAATATTGGCTGTTTGACTTAAACTTACCAGGATCCTCTGAGCTAATTGTAGTTTATGGAAATGGTAACTTCCTGGGTAAGTATAAGTGGTAAGGAAGATGGCCATATTTAAACTGTTCTGTTGCTTGGATAAGTCCCAAGAAGTACTACATCTAGTTTCTTAATTTGCTTTTGGGCCAGGCTTGTTGACCCATGCCTGTAATCCTAGCACTCGAGAGGCTGAGGCAAGAGGATTGAGAGTTCAAGGCCAGCCTGGGCTACATAGTGAGCACCTATCTCAAAATAAATAAATTAAATAAAACAGCAAGAAAAATTTGCTTTTAAGTAAATGCTAAAGCATTAGAAATCAAGCTTCTGATATCACTCAATTCCATTTTAATTAATTTTAGGAACAAGCTATCTTATCTGTTTCTGCTTTTATCATTTCTAACTAGAAACATGGAGCTTAGTTTGCAGCATGTTCCTGTAGTTGAAGTTTCCTGCCCCTTGACAGATCTGATTTAGCTGTCCCCTTTCTTTACTTGCAGCCAAAGTCTTGATTGCAAGAAAATCTTGTGTTGCCTTATTTCTATTTATATTGGGATCTGTGTTTCCTTCATTGTGTATTGCAGTGCTGCCCTGTGCACTCCTTTAAAACTGTTTCTTGATCTGTTTATTTTTTATTATAGCACATAGTAGGGGCATGGAAAAGGTGTGAGCTCAAACTTGGAGACTCCATTTATTTGGAAAATAAGTTCCTCAACTAATCCCCTTGGAATTGTATTTTCTTTTGGAGATGCGTGCTTTTAGTCTTACGCTCCAAGAGGTTTGTGACTAGTAAAGAATTTGTAATATATTTTATATACTTTCATAGGAATGTGACTGCTAGAGGCTTGGTGCTTCCTGGGGACAACTGGTACAGATTTATACCACAGCAGTCATTAAGTTTCTCACTGCTGTTAGTCAAGATGGAGTTGAGATATTCCAGATGGTACCATCAGTCTCTTAGATGGCATGTGAGCTAAAACTTCTGCTGTCTCTGGACTAGACTTTGCTTTGGCTCAAATGAGTGCATTACTGTTTCAGTGTTCATCTAAGTGAATTATATGCCTAGAATACTGTAAGTATAGAAATGGAGTTGTATATAATCACCATAATTTTTTAAATCTTATAATAAATGTACACATACTCTGTCAATGACTCCTTCTATTCGCATATTGTAACAGGTCCTTGACTCTTTTTTTTTTTCCTCTTCAGACTATGAGCCAAAGGCCAGGACACCACAAATGCCAGAGTAATGACTGGTAGCCAAAATGGCTGCTTGAAAGAAGATGAAAAGCCTAGGGTGGAACCAGTTCTAGGCAATGAACTCATGAACCTAAACTGATCAGTGCTTTAGAGTGCCATATAGGTGAGCTAATTAAGCACCAGTGCCTAGGCTATGGGACAGAATAGAAGAAATCAAAACTCATTAGAACAGGGAAGAATTTAGGCAAGGTAGGTGGGTAAGTAGAGAAAACTTCAAATGCCACCTTGCTGAGGAAACTGCCTAACAAATTGAGTACCCAGGTTTTCCTAAATGACTGTTGTATTTCTCATGTCCATGGTCTCTTTTGGAACCATGTAGAACAGAAAAGAAACAACTGTCTTTATTAGTCCCCTGACAAAGCTTCTGAAAGAATCTGGCTGGAAGAAAAATGATGAAAGGGAGTTGTGCATCAAAATAACATGAATCTTTTATTGAAAGTCACTTTATTGATGTTACAATGAGAGTAATATAGAAAACTGTGGTATCTTATAGCTTCTGAGGTGAATACTAATAAAATTGTTCCAGAAATTTGAAACGCAAGTTACAGTGACCTTTAAAAACAAGATGTTTACCTACAATGTGAGAATGACTTTATAACTGGAACAGCCATAAAACAAATCACATTCAGGAAAACAGTCACCATATACATATCCATTGGTGTTTGCCAAAACCCAGTAATTTTTTAAATAGCATAAGAACTTGAAGTGCAGAGTAGCAGAAAGCATGTTAAAATGAAACTAATCTAAGTATATACACGATAACCTGGTGACCAAAGTGAAATGGTGCTGCTGTGAACACTTCCTCATGGGATAGTTTCCATCATCTGCAGATGGACATCACCCCTGGAGAATGATGGATGAGGGAAACTAGTGAATCCCTACACCAGCTAACATATAACTGCTTTGATATGGTAGAACACCCATTTTCTGAAAGTTGTCTTGGGGATGCTAGTTTGGAGGGGCAAATTTTCCAGCAAGTTAAAAAAGGACTTCATGCTTAGTTATCCTGAATGAACCTTTTGCTAAACACTTTTTCAGTTAGTGTAAAAAAAAGTTTTCCATACAAAACAAAAGTATTGGGTTCTTTTTACCCATTAAAAAGACTGGTTGTAGAATCACAGTTTGATTTTGTGCTAGATTAGAAAAGAAAAGGGTTTCTAATCAGGCAGTGATATCATGTATAATTTAGCAGGAACTCTTGTATTATTAAGTGCAATAATTTGTATCAGCACTTTCTATATTGTGTTATCTAATAAAACTTAGCACCGCTATATTTAAAGATCTGGGTTATTTGCATTAATTTAGAGCTTAACCATCAAAGCACAAATCACAGTCTGAAACTTAATAAAAGGCTAAGCCCTAAGGTAGCTGCATATATATTTATACATATCCAATAGGAAAACTAACCTTCAACTGTGGTGGTTTTTTATGCACATTATCTTAAGATTGCATAAATGCTTATTCTTACTGTATGCCTTTTGATAAAATGAAACAAAATATACATTTTGCCTGGATTTGAATAAGGATACTTAGGAACATGAAATGATGATGCCCCTGACCAAATATCCTCTGAAGCACCTCTCAGTGTGATACAGGGTCTATGGACCATGCAACAGGGACACACCACTGGACTATGAAGAGTTTATAGAGCTAACACTCAGTAACTGCAAGGTACACTGTGTTGCATACCTAGTACCCTCTTTCCCTACCACATGCCCAGTGACCACCTTGAGCTTTTCTTCATTCTTGGTTCTGGGACTTCCTATGCCAGGACCAAATGCCCCATGATCTCCCAAAGTTGCTGGTTCTTACCCTGGGATCCATCTCTTAGTGACTTCCCAAGTTGCATAGTCCATGATAACATGTCAAAAGGAGAAAAGTAAAGATGCCTTCCACCTCTTCAATGCACCCCTAGGGGTCTCCCAATTGCCACTTTAGCCAACGAAGGTAGCATCCTCCATAACAGAAAGTTTCTAATCAGGAGGTATATGTTGCACAGCCACTAAAGGGAAAGCTACTTTGGAAATCAAAAGGTTCTGGAAGCATTGCTCAAATTTCATAGTTAGGATGTTTACTGTTTTTCAGGCCATGGATATAAAGGGCAGAAATACTAACGAGGCAGGTTTTTGTTTTCAAATGTTTTGATTTTCTGCTTACAGACTTCTACATGTTGGGAACTGACAAAACAATGAATAAAACATGAACAGAAGTATTCTGTTTTCTAAGGTTTTGATGCACCTTTGCATCTGAGGGTGTGGTAGAAAAACTCTTGGAACTAAAATTGCCTGCCCCATGGAACATATGCTGTGAGCACATGCCAACACTTCCTAGCAGGTGCACTAACGGCATGCTGCTAACACACAGCCAGGATGGGCTGCTGCCTCAGCCAACTTTTTAGTCATGGACTGGGTGCCTCACTATACAACAAGCAGGAAAAACTGAGAGAATCCTTAGTTCTCTATGTTAGGAGAAAAGTTATTGCATCTAAATTCAGAGTAGTTTTATCCACTCAAAAATAAGTATCTTAGAGGAGGGAAATAAACATTTGAACCACAATATTAAGCTATATAGCAAGAATGAGAAATTCACCTTCACTCCATACATTTAAGGGGGGGGAAGTATTTAGGTGGCAATTTTAAAAGAAAACATAAAGCAAAAGGAAAATAGATCATTAGGGGCATAAAAAGTAGAGGATATGCTGCAAATGGGAGTCAGTGTTACATGGAAAATTCATACCAACTTAACCAAGTGATAGGATGATTGATATTTATAACATGCCCCATGTGGGACATCCAATGGCAGCAGTCAGCAGTATCCTAATCAGCTGTGCAGGCAGCTGTTGTCTCTCTTTAGTCCTATTAAATTCTAAACTGTTCTCTCTTTCCCATACACTGTAAAGTACCCAACAAGAATGTTTACTTTAAAAAGATAAACTAAAATTGTCTTTTCTTTAGATAAGGATTTATTATCATGCTGCATAACATAAGAAAATACTTAAAGTACTGTGTGTATTTAAAGTTAAGATAGAACTACATGACAACGGGAAATGAAAGAGTGAAATGAATAAATGGGCAAATTTGATTTTGAAACATTGAAAGAAATTAGTAGAAATACCATACTTCTTCTGGCTCAAAGTTGACTGTTGAAAGAACAAAATCTGCTGAAAGATAACAGGTAAAGCAGCCATAAGAGATCTAGAATGCTGGACAAGATGAACTCAAGCAAATACACAAGGGGATCAATAGAAACAAATGAGAAAGGAAGGTCTGTGATGGAATTCAAGCATAAATAGTCTTTCTTGGGAAGATAACAGAACACCTAGTTTTACTTTTGCAGAAGCTTCTTTCAGAAATCCTATAAATCTTATGTTCTGAAATTCTATGCTGGACTGACCTTATGTACAAACACAATTTTAAAAGCTTTGTAGTGCAAGAGGGAAAAAAAAGAGTAACTGTAGTATCACTTAATAAAGCACCAATATCAAACCGAGAAATAGGCTTGGCATTTGAACCCTATGTTTGCTGTATGTGTCAAAAAAATTTTAAGGAACAAATCTGAGAGAATTTCACTTCCCATCTGAAGAAAGTGGCTGGATGCAGAGAAAATTTAGTGGGGCCAATTCAATCCTTAAGGGCTCCTGTTATTCCACATTTCCCCACTGGTGACACTTAGCAGAGAGATTTAAATGTTCCTTTTTTTACAGGGATTGCAATGATTATGGACAAATGGAACACCTCTGGCAGCAGGTTGTCAGTCCGAAGTCTTATCTATACTTCAAACTTTAGAAAGCAGAAAACGGGCATACAATGGAACATAAAGACCAAATAATTGCTGTTCTCTGCTTAGTAATGATCCCATAGTGGACTGGGGAATATAAATATCAGTTACTATGTGGCTTCAAAGTTTCTTTTCAAAATAGAGATTTAAAAATAAATAATTGCTGTGCTTATATTTGGTGCCATGGGTCCACTCTATCTATCTCAGTGAATTAAAAGTTATAAATATATAGATGTAATACTAATCATAAATATACATATCATAGATACTTCTTAAAACTATTCATCAAGACTAAAACTTGTCATAGAATCCCACAAATGGTTCTAAGAATGTTTAAACTTAGGAGATAGAAAAGATAATTAGGATAGAACATTAAAGCTATTAGTTTCTAAAAATCCTAATTTATGCAAATTATGCAAAAAAAACTTTATTTAGTTCCATATGAAGTTTACTGCCAAGGATGATGATTACACACTGTATACAGTTAAAGCAATCATATCTCCCAAAAGGTACATGATAATGATTTTCATTTGAAATAATAATTTCCAGGTAAGAAATAGCTGAGATGGTGAGGATAGATGATAGACAGATGGATAGATAAATAGGTAGGTAGATAGACACATGATAGATAGATGGATGGATAGATAGTTGATTAGCTAGCCATTTGTGGATTCTTTAAAATTAGAGCTTGTATAACTAGGAAGCTTATTTATAAGAGGCACCTTATAGTCAAATCTATAAACTCTTTTATAGTCAAAATAAACATTATGACACTAGCCTTTTATATACTCAGTACCAGAAAACATTCAGTGCACATTTAAAGTGATCTTTGTCAAAAGTCACTTTATTTGCTATGTCTTTCCATCTGTCTGCCCTTCTGTCCTTGGCTATAGCTACACAGCAACTTTGCCCAACATTTGCCTAAACCTTGGGCTGATGAATTGTTTTATTGAGGTATCAACAATCAACCCTTCCTGTTATGAACAATACAGTTTTCCACTGTATGGTTTTGAATAATTAAATTGTTTTCCAAGCATTTTCAAAGATTTTCAGAAGGGAGGTCCATTACAGTTGACATGAACACAGAGTAAAAACATTGTCTTCTAACTTGGTCCATCAGTTTGGGCATCTAAGATGATTCCATATGGATATGAAATGGACTGTTCATAGACATTACAAAAAAATAAAATTTAGAGGGCATTTCTGAAATCCTGTCTACTGATTCCATTCCTCTCAAGAAAAAGTCAGAAGAAAAAAAAGAGGGACTCAGAAACACACTTCACAATGAACCATGTGATTGATCCTCCAATTGTGGATCTCACTAGAGTGCTTTTTTTGGAATGACAGAGCTGCATTCTGTCATTTAAAACCTCATTAAAAACAGTCCCTCAGCTTTGGTTTTAAAGAAGGGGATTTTAACATAGAATTCTCATTTTTCTATTTTTTCCATTGTTTAAAATTTATAAGGCCCAAAACACCAGATTCTTTCCACTGCCAGCTGTTTGTGTAATTCACAGTTGCTGCAATTTGTGCCTTTAGATTTCATTCAGTCCTTTATGCCCTGTTGAGGCTTTCCAGCTCAGATAGGCCAACTGTCTATCATCTTACTTCAAAGCCAGTACAGAATGACCTGCTAGAATTTACATCCTAGTGATGATAAATATCTTTAATATACAGTGTGAATGTTGTTTTTGTTTAAAAACAAGTTATTACTTTCACAGATAAAGGTAGCTGAAAAGTCTTGTCAAGGAACAAAAACTTCAGGCCAGAAGGGGTTAAGAGTATTGGCAAGATGGAAGCCTCTGACTCATGGCAGCCTGTGGGCTCAGTGTCTTTGGTGTACTTGCTCAGACTCAGCAGGACACACTGCTGGGGCTCAGTGGCCTCTACGTGAGACTAGCTGATACATTCTAGTACTGACAAAGAACAGACACTCTGGCAGGCACTGTGTGCCCCTAGGTGAACAGGTGGCTGACTCCCAGGGAGCCCATCAGCTCAGGGTTTCTTGAGGCAGCATGGCAGCTGCACTGTTGCACTCATGCTTCAGCAAGATATGGAAGCCAGAAGTTTTGCTGAGCATTTTGTTCTCTTACTCAATTACCTACTCAATAAAACTGTCTCCATACTGCATACAGTTAAAAGGGATATCATATGTTTTAGACAAATACCAGTGATGGAGAAACACATTAAATGGCACTGACTACTATATTTACAATATCATCTGCTTAGACTCTTTGAAGACCATTTGATGGAGGATGATGATGTGACTGTGACTCACTGTTTTTAGGCATTTGGCAAAAGACACCTGCATGTAATGGCTGATTTTTTTAATTTTAAAAATGTTTACATATGTACAATTGTCCTTGTATGCTGATATAAATATGAAAAGTAAAAAAACAAAATAAAAAAACATGTTTAAAGTTAGCATATGAGCTACTGGCCTCTCAAAGCTTTACCTCCTGCAAAAAAATCCTATATGCCTTAGCCCTGCATGCTAGTTTCTATTATGGGATGTTGTTTCCTTAAATATGGAAAAAAATAAACAGAAGCTTCATGCATATAGCATTACTGTTTACAGTGAGGATGGGCTTCAGAATGTCATGTTCTGAATCCACTACTGTCCCTTAGGAAACTTGCTACATTTGGGTCATGTGAGTTAATTTGATTGATATTTCTACATATATCTGTCATGCAGATTATCCATTAACATACCCCCAGTACCTTTACCATTCCATGTTATAGTGTAACATTGCAGTAGTTATTTTCATGGTTCACTTGGATCCTAAGCTAGTGACAAAAAGAAAATGGTATCCAGATGTGAGACTCGACTTCCTCTCCTCTGTGGCATCTCAGAGGGCCTTCATATTGTCTGAAGAGCAGATAGATATGCAGTGATTCCATGAGGCTGGATTTCTATAAAAGTTTAAGTAAACAGTTTCGATGTGTCACGTGTAAACAGTTGATCTTAAATGGATGTCTCCCATAGCTGCATAACAAAGAAAAGCAAAGTTACACATTATGAAAGTATGAAGAAGATGCATTCTGACTTACAAAGATGAAAGACTTAATGATTCCATCCACATATATGTGATTGTGAGTTGTACAGTCTTTCAAAGGCCAATAAATGGATAAAATAGGCACTTCAGCTTTTAGCTCTGTCCTCTCTAAACCTGCGCCTTGAGCTTTTTAATAGCTGTGAATTTTTTATTCAAAACACTTCACATCCTCATTTAATGTTACCCAAAACTTTGAATGAAGTAAATATTGTGTCTCAAATGAATAAAACAATATATATATTTTTAAGTACTGGGGAATGAACTTAGGACCTTGGAGTTGCTAAAAGGTACTCTACCACTTTTAAGCTATGTCCCCAACCTTGAAATAAAATAATTTAAAAATGTTATTTCTTAAGCTACCTGCACCTATATTTCCCCCAGAATTCTTATATAGCCAACTATAGTAATTGTTCTTAACCACAGCTATATACTACATTACTCTGGGGAAGTTTTAAAAAAAATCCACTGTCCAGGTAGCACACTACACCAACTAAATAAAAAAATCTCACTGGGTGGAACTTAGGCTTAAAATATTTTTGAAGCTCTTCAGATGATTCCCATGTACAGCCAGTACTAAGAACTGCTGTATTCTGGGAAGTGTGATTCCATCAATACAACCACCACCTACTTAAAAGTCACTACCCTGGGCCTATGAACAGGGCACACACTCTCCGATTCCAGCAGTTCTCTCAGGAGCTGACATGTCAGAGTAGAAGGATACATGCAGGGCTGAAGTCTCTTCCCTCCCCTCTCCCCATCTTCTTGATTCTGCTACAATTCTTTTATACTGAATCTGGTCAAATCTAATTTCTACAATGTTCAATAATTGCCTTAATGAGCCGGGTGCCTGTAATCCTAGGCACTGGGGAGGCAGAGATAGGAGGATCAGGGTTCAAGGGGAGCCCAGGAAAACAGTTTGAGAGTCCTATCTCAAAAATATCCAAAACAAATCAGGACTGGCAGAGTGACTCAAGTGGTAGAGCACCTGTGTAGCAAACGTGAGGCCCTGAGTTCAAACCCCAGTACTGCCAAAAAAATAAAAATAAATAAATAAAATAATAATTGCTTTAATGGACTACAAACAACTTTGGCATAGTCAGACATAAATGCAACTCAGTTCTCCAGAGAAGGAAGTTTAATTTAAAAAAAAAAGCATAGCTGATGAATACATTTCCAGGTAATATGGCTTGGATATAATTGTTATAAACATAAACAAAGCATAATGTCAGAGTGACTTAAGTTATGTCCAATTTACATCCCTTCCATTTTAACTGGATACATGGAGCATGTCATGGTATACATGAGTTCTAGAAATAAAGGAGAGAAAGTGACTAAGTAGAAGTTTCTATGTGGGTTACCTTGAAATGTTCTATCAAACCTTCATAGGGTTCTAACACCCATGTGGGCTTACTCCACAGGATGTGGGAAAGCCACCTGTGCTATCTACACAAGGCAATTTTATATATTCTTATTATTAAAAGACACCCATCCTTACTGGAGGTGTGACTCTAGAGGTAGAGCACCTGCTTTGCAAGTGTAAAGGCCTGAGTTCAAACTCCAGTCCCACCAAAGAAACTCATCCTTGCCCTTTGGAAACTAAAGGGATCTCTCAACTGTGACAATCTTGGTGACAGGATGACACTGACTGTTGAAGAGGTGTTAACTAGGGGCTTGCAGGGAGTCCTAGGCAAAGAAGATCTGCGCTGATGTTCAGATAATGACCTGCGAGTCATGATTATTCCTGTGAGGAAAAAGGAGCAAAGGATTGCTACCATCATTTTTAGCAACAGGCATGTATGGCTATGTCTATGTGGCCATAACAGAGGAGCTGCTGAAAGGAAGAACTGTTTGTTCAATTCTCCACAGCCCACAAAGACATCCCAGGGACAGAGGTCACCTATTCTGCAGGATTCTGCTACATGTTCATGTTCAATAGTGGATAGAACAAATCAGACCTATCACATAACTATGCTATTAGCTAGAGTGTTTTTGGTCAAGCTGCTCAGCCCAGGGAAAGGGCATGGGCCACCCATTTCTCCCAGGAGCCATCATTTTCATGGGCTCTCATATGGTAACATCTCCAATAACCCATATCCTGGCATGACAACAGCTAAGCTGCTTTTATGCATAAAAGGCTATTAATTTTGTCATAGCCATTATAGTATTATTAAAAGACTTACAGACTTTTTTCAAATATCCTTTCCTTATATCAAAGTACCATCATCCCAAGACATTGAGCTGATTTTCTGTCACAGGTTCCTATTTCTAAAATTCTATTGAGTTGTTATAAGCTGGTGAAAGGCCTGAGTGAGCAAACTGGGCAAGGATGGGAGACTAAATTACTTAGTGTCCAGCATTTCCAAGGATATTTTAAAAACTTAGAAAAGGTGGGCATTGGCAGCTCACGCCAATAATCCCAGCTTCTTAAGAGGCAGAGATCAGTGCGAAGCTAGCCATGTAAATAGTTTACAAGACCCTATCTTGAAAATGCCCAAAACAAAAAAGGGCTGGAAGGGTGGCTTAAGTAGTAGAGCACCTTCCTAGCTGCCCTGAGTTCAAAACTCCATACCACCAAAAAAAACCAAAAACCCAAAAAACATCCTCATATAGCAAAAAACATCCTTTGTTTAGTCCATTCCAGATTTAATACATTAATAACATTGATTAACGAAAAATGTAAGTATAATGGATAATCACTACACCTAAATAGCTCTGAAATATACCAATGTAGACTAATTAGCAAATGTAAATCTGAACTCAAAAGCCTCAAGAATCTTGTAATTTGTAAATTTAATTTTTCTCATTCTCATCTTTTATGAACAAAGAAGAAAAATGACTCTTTTTTAAAAATGTGAACTCAGACATAAGTTATAAAGACTAAGTATGTAAGCACATGGAAGAAGTTTTCACGTACCCTGGCACTTTGTCGATTGACTTTCTTCTCCTCGTCGGGAAGTGGGGGCATTGGGTAAGGGTATTTTCTGCTGGAGGCAATAGACCCAGTTGACGAAGAAGGAGACTTGGCAGGAGATAAAGTCCTGAGACATTGAGAACATATGAAATAAATATCATGTGATTGCCTAATTTCAGTTTCAAATATCTGAAAAGTGGGTTCAAAACAAACCCTCTGACTTCTACTTTCATAAGTTTCTACTGCAAAGCTTTAACTACTGGGGAGAAAGTTCTGTCATTTCTAAAACTGGACTGCTGAATTTTAGCTTCCTAATTTCATGACTGCTATGGACTGCTTAAATGTTAGTACATAGAATCATACTTTTCAACTAGAAATCCAATAATGAAGTTTCCTACAGAATAGATAAAAAGCTAACATGAAGACAGGATCAAATTGTTCTAAGAGCTCATTATGATAAATTAAGTAAACAACATATTAATACTCTGCCTTACTTTTACCACTTAAAACAAAAATGTTTCTAAGTGCAATAATTCCAGCTAAGACCTTAAAATACATTACACTGATATACTTATTAGTTGCTAAGTCACATACTAGTTTAGACAAAATTCATGCATTCAGAGGCCAGTGTGTTAGTTGTGAAAGAACAAAGGCAAATACAGGGATTTTAATAATAAATTAGTAAACATGCAAGCAATAAGGAGTGCAGAGTTCCAGCCAAACAAAGTCTGATGAGAACATACAAAAATGGTCTGATTCATCCCTACAATCAGCATTATTGGGGAAGCAATGGTGTATTATGCTGAACTGGTGCAGTGGTAATACTTGTGGTTACACTGGGCACATTAGAAGAACCCAATCCTGCTTATAACTTATATTTTAGAGGGTAAGAAAGCAGCTGAGTAAAAAAATATCCCCTCATCTCAATGGAAAAGATGTGATAACTGTAATAGCTATCTACCCCCTTTGCAAACACTACCACTACACACCCATGACCCTTTAATTTCTGCACCAGGTGGAAATGACCCAATTGCTGAACTGGTTACACTGCCACATTATGATACAAGTGCTCATTTTAGTCAGATGCACCGCATCTGCCGTGACTGGTTCAACTTGTGAGGTGGAGTAGCACCGGGTGGGGCAAAGTCTATTGCCTATGTTGCATTTGGTTTCTATCCATACAATATCCTTGGTTCTGGTTCTGCCATAGCGTTGAATTTCATTTCCACTTTATAGATTCTGAATTCAAGCTCAAGTTTGAAAATAAGTTTTCCTGCCAACTCTGAGGTCCAAGAGAACATTCTTAACTGATTTTAAGAATCAAGAGTAGTTCCAATCACTTTTAATCCATAATTCCTAACATTTCTTCTATTTTAAAAAAAATAGTCAAGACCATTCCCTAGCACAAACTACTAGAACATAGTAATGGTTAGACTTCCACAAAACACTCTTCAATGCTGTGTGGATGGGTGTAAATAAGAACATTAGTACTTAAATGCCTCTCAAGTTCTAGTAAAGCAATACTCAGCTGTGTAGTTCTCTAATTCAGAAATTATTTTTATTTTAGTAAAACATTTTGAATAAGACTATGATCTTTAGGAAATAAATTCAGTATAGTGAAATGAAGATATACCTTTGCATTTAGATATTTGCATGCATGTTCCTAAAATGAAGGATATTAACCTGGGTTCAGTTTTTAGCCTAATCATTATTGGTAAGAAATGCAGGTTCAGGAAAGCTGGTCAGATACAAAGACAAATAACCAAATCTTATTTACTTCAGGGGTCATGCACATCGAGAAATCAAGTCCTCTTTTAATTTACTGCAGTATGTGTGCCCATAGCATGAGCTGTTAGCTTACAGCTTCACAGCCATGCTAGCTTTAACTTGGCTGTGGATCCAAATGATCAGCACTACACATATACAAAGCCATTCCAATGAGGGGTGCTGAAAGTTCAGTCTTCTCAAAAACTTTTCCATGGGCAAAGCCAATAATGGTTAAAACAAAAATAGGAAGCGTTCTTCAGACTCCCAAAGGAATCTCACTATATTACTTCCGATATTATATAATATATTAATCATACTTTGGACCTGAAGGAAAGAAGAGAAGCCAAGCAGGTCGGTTTTAGCGACAAAAAAAGGGGAGAAATAGGTTCTGGTGGGGTGATGGAGAAGACCTGAGCAGAGGTCAAAATTAGAGTACAGAACAAGGCAAGTTAAATTAGTTTAGGGAGAATAAACTGGTAGTTTCTTACAAATGTCTAAGAAAGACATTCAGTTTCAATCCAGCTTTCATTTAAAGCCAATCATCGCCCCAGCTTGTTCACTTACAAAGCAAAGGGAATCTTTGGCTAAATGTTAGCCATTATCTTTACTACATTAAAAAAAAAAACCCAAACTCCAATGGATATACAATAGAATTACACAATAAAGGTGTGTTTGTGTGCCAATGTATTCTGGTGCATCTTGGGACTACATCAGACGTGTTGAGCTGTTTTTTGTTTGTTTGTTGGCTTTGTAAATACATGTGTAAGGCCATCTCAGTTTAATTCTGCCACCTAGCACAACTAAAATCAAACAGTCACATGAGAGAGACACAACTCCACTCTTTCTTTATTCACTTCATATGTGAATTTTATAATAGCATGATCCAGGTGGATTCAATGATCCTTGAACAGGATCTAATCCTTCAATATCTACCCTACTACTTCTAAGTAAGTACAGTGGAATGATGTGGGAACTTGGAGTTAGATAGAGCCAGGCTCTAATTCTGGTTCTGACACCAGCTATGCTACCTTGAGTAACTCTTTTTGCCTCAGTTTATTCCATCCACAAGAAAGGAATAAGAATGCCTACATCTCATGATGTGAAAGATTAAAATATACAGTAGGCACTTGACACATGAGAGTTACTATTATTAATTTATCTTCAGAGTCAGTACATTTTCTATAAGACTGTAGAAATGTGCTCAAAAAACACTGATGAAGTGAGTAATGAGTTGGGTAATATGGAGAACACATAAGGCAACTGCCACCCACAGAACTTCCCCCAGGAACTAGGGGTAGTGAGATAATGCTTTTGCCCTGATCACATTTGCTCTTTCCTGATGGCTCTTTCCTACATGCTGAGGACAATTTGAACAACCATTTTCACATCAGAACTGGGTAAGGGAGAGCAACTGGGGCACTCTGATCACTCAAAACCTGTAGGCTTTGCTCTTACTAGTATCTCAGTGACACTATGTTTTAAACGCTAGACTACATTTTGGACGAGTTTGCTACAATCACAAAGTCCCCATTGTATTTTGATAAGAATGCCACAAATCTAAACCACATTGGGTGATTAAGAAGGTAAGCTTTGCCCTTATTGGTGATTTGACAGGAGAGGTCATCCTGCATGACCTGGTGGCAGATGAAGCAGATCTAAGCTTAAGCGTAGGGGTGGCAAAGCATAAGTCAAGGTGTGGATGTACTTTAGGCCTCCCATGTGAGGCTTGGCTTGGATGGTGAGTGGATGAAATTCTCTCTGCTATGTTCAAATCATGACATTAAAAGCTCTGGGTCATCTCAATTATTCACCACTGCCACTAAAATTCTGTGTTAATTTTCAAGTCTCACCAGCATAGTCCTTATTAATTCAAAAGATGAATTAATCATACCCATCTACTGAACTTTAGACTTTAAATAAAATACGGATTTTTAATAAATTCTGAGTGGAACTCTCTATTGTAGGAACAAACGTCTCATTAGTTGAGGAGATAAAGGAACCCTCTAGTGTTGCCCTTGCAGCTTTGCACGTGCAACCAGGGGTGCTAAAGCATTTCCCATCCAAATTGCTTTTTGTCATGCGGCTTCTGGGCAGACCTGGGTGCTGATTTTAAGGAATATGAACTCTTCTCTAGGAGCCACATAAACTACTCAGCTCACCCAGGGGAGGTGAATTGACTCTTCCAGGGTACCATTTCATAAATTATTGCTGTAAAAATGCTAGGTCCATTTAGGAATAAAAGTCCTATCCCACATAGGAACAAAATCATTGTGTTTTGGTTCCATGACTGGTACAAATGACAATCTGCCCACAAGCCTGAGTAAATAGAAGAAATAGAACTATAGGTGAGCCAAGATTCCAAATAACATTCAAAATCATCTTACCTGTCTTCCTGACGTTGGCCATCTTGGGAGCTACAGGTGAGGGTGGGATGTTTGGATGTGAGTGTATGTATATGAGATTCAGTGTGGTAAAGTGTGGGATTAGCAAACGACAGGGAAGGAGGGAAAGATGGGATATAAAAGCAGGATATATTTTTGTGAGCAGGCAGGAATTACGCTTTCCTTGAGGTATATGCAAATGTTATGGATCAAATTAAAACGCAGGTAGGTCTAATCATTTTCTCAAACTATACATGACTAAACTAAATGGTATACTGGAAGAGAGAGTCCACCTTACATGGGTGTTGAGAGTTCAATATACATACATATTTTCCTATCTGTTCAATGCTGGCCCAAGTCGTGGCAATAAGTAATATGAATGCTCATTGTTATGTTCAGAAGAGGTAGTGAATGAGTCTCTATTTCTTCTTTATATTAGTTGTCCACAAAGTAGTCAGATATAAAGTGAACATTTAAGTACCTCTAGGTAACTACTTTGACATTATAAAGAGTGAAAAAAATGTCATCAAGAGGTCTTGGTCTCTCTGACCTCTAGCATTACATAGAGCTGCAATGAATTGAGTAAACTGGATAGTTTCTAAAATGTAGGGATGCTCTTCTCTTTTGTGAGTCAGTAACGTTTCCTATCTGCTTCCTGTTATATTTGAAGTGTTAGAAAACACTTTTATTTGCATTAGAATTCTTAGATACCTTGTTGAGAATCTGTAGAACATTTTTCTCAGCACAGCCTTTTCTGGTAGCAAATGTGCTGAACAAAGAAAACCTAAACTCATTGTGGTCAATTAATTTTAATATTTCAATAATTTTTCCAGTTAGGTCAAATCATTGTTTCTCCTGAAAGTAAAATTCCACTATATTTCATTTAGCTTCTTTTCATGTTTTCCCTTGAGTTTTCATACGCACTATGCACTCTTAGGCAGTAAGTAGGAAAAATGCATTACAAAATGGCTAGATTGTAGAAATTAAATTGTTGAGGTTAATAGTGTGTCTTTATTAGTGGAAGTATGTTTCATGCCCATAGAACACTACATAGCATAAAATGAAGAGAAAGCTACTAAAAAGCTCAAGATGGTGACAGGGACATGCACTGAACGGCAACCCTTTCAAATGGCTTCATTTGAAACATTCAGAAAAGAACCAGACTTGCTCAGGAAGCCAAAAACAGAGATCAAAAGGCAGCAAATAAACAAGGACCCTTTCCCATCTACAGGAACTTGTATTAGGAGATACAAGATAGAGAGCCAGTCACACTACAGTATTTGTATGTGCTGGGAGAGTTTGAAAAGGATATAAAATTAATTTATAAAATACCTAAAGTATGGTCCTTCAGTGTTTTTATTCACATCTTCTACCCACTTAGCTACATTATAGTCTCTTTTGAACCATGGATTTAAATACCTGCAGAAAGCAATGGAAGGAACAAAGAAAGCAGAACAAGATAGAAAATCTGAAAATACACAGCACAAGCTTAGCAAGGATGTCTTCACCCTCCAAATGCAAGTGACTATGGCAAATAAACCAGGATGGATGCTGGGTGATTATGAGGCAGTCTACACAATGGCATGAGAATAATCTCAGCTACAACAAGGCTCAAGGCATTCTAGAATGTATTCAACATTTCTGGGGAAGCCTTTTCCAGTGACTTCCCACATGAATCAGAAACTCCCTTTCAATCACAACGCTGTCAGCAGTCCCATTCACCCACCTCCAAAGTGGCTTTTTCCAGGCTATCTCTCATTTGGCTCCTTGGTTTTCAAATGACAATGATGCTTTTTTGAAAATATTCAGGTGGCTGCAATTCCAGTCTGGCATTTGAGCATATAAAACCCCAAGAACAATTTATAGAAACAATGTTCTCTTACAACATGAGAAAACTTTTACATGCCATTCTTTTACTCTCTGTAACAGATCCCAAGCTGGAGTCAACAGAAAGTACTCCAGGCGGCTCTGTATAAAGCATAAAGGCACCCACTCTTCTGATGCTGAAGCCCCAAAGCATATTAAGTGTGGTTCAAATAAGCCTTCATGATCTTGAAGCTGGCTTTAGTAATTTAATTGCAGTTGCAATGTTCCTTCCTCTTCTTTGTGAACTCCAGACTAAAGTGTTCATGGTTCCATTAGAAAATGGCCCTCAGAGGATGCCTTCTAAGTGTCTGATGGTGAATTGAATGACTGCCAGAGAATAGTGATGACCTTAGTTAGCATTTCCCTGACAGAGCTAGCAATACCTCCATCAGAATTACATTTCAAATTTTAAAGGTAGAAAAATCGGAGGTAGAGTTAGTTTTTTTTCCCCCCAGAGTTTCTTTGATTTTTTTATTCGGGAATGAAGCAAAAAGACACCCCTCAGGATTTGCCCTTGTAAAATAATATAAATTTAACAAACTCAGTATTGGAAGAATTTGGAGGTTTCACTGGGCATTCTCAATAAAAATAATTTGTTGGGTACTATAGGCAATGAAGGTCCAAGCTCTTTAAGACATATTTGGAAACCATCAAGGCAAAATTATAAAATTCATTATTTGTTTTTACTTAAAGTTTACTTCATATTTAGTCTTTGAGTCGTTTGTAAATACAATTAAATCAAGACTACATTTATACAGTTATATTAAAAAAAAGGTCATTTTTGTCTAGCCCTTTTCCTGCCTTTTTAGCTATAACCAAGGTACTCTACAAAATAACATCACAATTACCTCCTAAAAGAAGAGTTTTGTTACTTTTTAAGCATATAAGACCATTTTTGCTAAAATAATGTCTCTTGATTCAAGAACAACTCACAGGAGTTTTGCCTTTAGCCACAATCATTGCCAACTTGCACTTTTCACAGAGATAGCCAATTAAAACTTGCATAAACAGTTCCACTGAGCCTTTGAACAAAAAGAAAAAAGTCAAAAAGCAAGTGCAGCCACTGATGAAGGCTAGTGAATGCTCTGGCCTGGGGAAAACTGTTGAAAAAGCCCATGCAGCTGTTGTCAGGTAAAACATAGCCACACAGCAAACTAATCACCCACAGGCAGACAGCTACTTCCTGGAGGAGACATTTGTTCCTTTCACTGACAATCTTAGAAACTCAAAGGACTGGAGCCAGGGCTCCAATCACATGGCTTGATTTTCACTCGGGGATCTTTTCTTCTCTTTCAAAGAGCACTTCTGTTGATCATGTCACCAGAGCCACTGAAGAGAACTCTGAATTGTTTGTTTCTCTGGGAACCTGCCCATGAAAGTGTCTTCACGGTGGATCCCCTAACATCCTAGGCCATGGTGATTTGAGTGATGGGATTTACCAAATTGCAATAATCCTGCCTATGTGGCCTGACTTGCCTCTAGCGCAACATGCAAAAATATGCGTCAGACAGGATAGGAGAACTTTTTCTTATGTTCTCCAGGATGGAAAGGCAGAGGAAAATTAGCTGGTGCTGACTGAACCAGGAGCACCTCTGAGCAGACATGGGGGCTCAGTCAAAGATCAAATGACCCTGTTCTCAGCCAAGGAAGGGACTTGGGGGGAGATTTAGTGGCAGCCCAGAATGAAGGGGCAGGTGGAGACTGACCTGTTATCCAGACTCCCTGTCTGGGGGCTGTCAGAGCCCCCTGGGCTTATGCCTTGGGATAGGACTGTCTGGGCGAGGGAGTGCCCAGGCTCAGGTGCTTGGGGCTCCCTCCTGCAAAAACACAATATATAATACAAAGTCTAAGCCAAAAAAGTTTTTTTTTACATCATGAATACCAACAGTGAGGAAGATGCAAAAGCTTTGAGTGGGAAAACAATATAATCAACAAGGGCATTTTATCTGATTAATTAGCAAAGCATGCATTTGTGGTGCATGTTTTAATTCATGTCCCAATTTTTCATCATCCTTTGAGCTGATGAGGTACTACAGGGAATGTTGAAATAACGGACTTGAAATAGCTCACATTGTAAGAAAAATAAAGGATATGTTTCCTGTGGTCATTCTGCTCCTCTTATAGTCACAAAATAGTATTATTATGTCAGAAGTAAATAAGAAAAGTATAAAAATTTGTCAACATAATTCTCAACATGTTGTGTACCAGGAATCTTTATCTTTAAGAAGTATGTAAATGCACATATGGAACAGTTCCCATACAAGAAGGCTTATGATAATAGTAGTCAGCTTCACACACTTGGCCATTTAATTAACATGAGTCATGTCACCAAAATCAGAAGTCTGAAAAATCTGAGGGAATCCTTAATAATTCTCCCTCTCTAAGATGATTATTATGATGTCATATTAAATATTATTATCTTATAGGCAAGATTTCTCAAAAGCTATCCACAGTATTATAATTTTTATCATGAGTGGAAATTTTATACAAAGTATTTTTTTAAATAAGTGATTGCTCTAGAAAACATTGTTTGAATATTGCTAAACACCAAATGTTCTTTGGGTCCTAAGCTCATAGCATTAACATGCTATTGAACTTTTATTTTTCCATGTAGAAGTTGTCAGCCTTGTTATAGGAAATACTGTTAGAACACTAAGTAGTATAGTAAAGGGAATTCTATAGAACATTTTGTAGTTTTATCTGTATTCTGAGCAACTGAGATAAGTTAAGGAGCTCTAACCAGGTGACCTCATGCAAAACAAATCAAATAACATTCCAAAAAGAGTTTATCAGCAATGGGCCCTAAAGCATCAGAGTGCTTTGGGAATGCATAAGATAAACTCTTAACATTAGTTATTTATGATGGAGTTCTATGATGCCATTCTGGACCATGCAATGGTATCACTTAAAATCATCTACTGTTTCTAATGTAAAGTATCCTCTAGTAAATGTTGATCAGCCACTTACAAGACAATACCATTCAGGTGGAAGGTCCAAATTTCAGGGCAATGTTAATATTCCTAGACTGAAAAAGGCAGGGTATATGATGGAAAAGCTAACATAAGTTTGTAATAAGCAGTTCACAAACACCTACTATTCAGACTTTTAACTTCCAGTACAATGAGACATAAAAGAAATTTTTTTTAAAGTATGGTAGTTAAAAGTAGGTAGCAAGGTAAGTTCAAAAAGATACAAAAGATGTGTTTTATTCCATGAAGGGAGGTAAGAGTTTGAGGGAGGGTATTTTGCTTATACTTTCTTAACTGAAGAAACAACACAAGTGTGTGGTGTTTACTTTGCCATAAAAAGACTTTAAAAGTAACTTCTCACCCCACCTCTACTTAAAAAAATGTCTATCATTTAAAATGGTTAATGTTGCCTTTAGTGACAATGATTCAGCTAAAGAGCAGGTTTAGATAAATACCCTTTTAAATGTCCTCAGACGGAAAGTTTAAAAGGAAAAGTTATCCCATTAGTCTGAGAGAATGCTTAGATTGCAGCCATGAAGACCTCTGAGTGGTGGTTTCAGATCGTGAGTACTATCATGCTCTAGTAAGGTGAGAACCTTCCCCTGATGCTTCCAAGCTGTGTGAGTACTGTGGAGAAGGTGACCCTTTGAAATGGTTGGACCCCAGGTGATGAGAAGAAAGGAATGTTATCAAAATTCCCTTCAAAGGGAACCAAGACACCACAATGGCAGGTGACTGGAGGAAAAAGCCTGCAGCAAGGGTGATACCCCTACTATCAGTGAATATTGGTATGGGCACTGTTGCGGAGATGCCTATGTAAAAGAGAAAAGCCATGGTTAATTTTTAAAGGGCAAAAAGAATTAAAAAGACACAACCAAGACTACAGGCATGGTTGATGGTTCTTTGACTATCTTCTTAATTAACATTGCACAGGATCTTGGTGACATGTTTTCCATTAGCGGTTCAGACTTACTCAGTTGAATTAGATCGAGGTCTAAATCTTTTGCCTCTGATTTTCTTTCTGTTGCTTCCCACGTTCCCTGAAAAAGAGTGTTTATAGCTAAATTTTCATGTAAATAAGTGACTTCTATGTCCAAATACATGGTATGTCAAGTTGGTATCATTTATAAAAACAGCACCGCCCTAGAACATTTGGCTCTGCAACTCTGCACAGCCTTCCCACTATTTCTTATGTACTGCTGCCACCAAATCCCATCATTTCCCACCCAGGGAAAAAAATAAACAAAACTAAACTCCCATTCTAAATACCCTCCTGTTTTTTGGGAGAGTAGCTAAGAATTTATATGAAAAAACACATCTTTATATCCAGGATCCAAGGAACACAGAACTTGGGGGTATCTACACATGGATTCAGAATACTGCCCTATACCTTGCCAAGAGTTACTTCGAGGTCTCCCATTTTCACAGATGTCTGAAATATGTTTTGTGTCTGGAATTCTTTCACTCCAGGAATGAGAGAGCCCATTTGACCTGAAATTGAAAATATTTATAATGTTGTTCAAAAAATGTAATTAGATGAATATTTTGGAATCAGTAAGCAAAACTTGTAAGCATTACTGTACATTAAATCAAAGAAATCAAGAAAAATCTGAAATGAAAGAATGAAGAAAACATGAAAGTCTTCATGAAGAAGGCAGAATTACACAACATTCAATTTAAGAAAAGTCAAATACAATGGAACCCCATTACAATAATCTATAAATGAAAAGTATCGGGATATAATGCAAGCCAATTTACATTCCCCAGAACACAGCAACCACACAGAGCAAATTTATGTGTATTTTGGTCACACAAACCCAACAACAGAGTTATAATGGGGTCCCACCGTAGATGTTTCTTAATTGTAAAGCAATGATTTCCATTCAAATATTATGAGAACATGGACTTCTAAGAGATTACATTAAGATTTGCTCAACCAAACCTGGTAATCTTTATTAAAATAATGTATAGGTTTTCTTAAGTAATAACATTATTTTCTGAGAACTGGTATTTTTCTCCACAAATATTGTCCAAAAAAGTATAGTATACAAGTTAATTATTGAATCAGATGTTTTTCATGGAAATATCTCTCACAAAGCCCATGTACCATTGAACCCTTCTGCTATTTGTGTCCTATCATCTTTAAATGAATTATCTGCAAGAAGTAAAATTGACAGACCTACCTTATACCACATAAGAAAAGAATTTTGATAAATTATATACACTTGGAAGTCTAACAATTTGATACATTTTAATGACTTAAAAATCACACTCATTGAAATTTTTCTACAATCTGGCAATTATTCAAATGGATATTTTAAGCTCCTTTTTAGGTACTTCACAAAACAGCACCATACTTAGAAATATTTCCCATGTATCATTCTGGTTGGCTGCTAATAATATCTATTTTTTTCATAGTACTGGGATTTGATCCCAGGGCCTCATGCTTGCTAGGAAGGCGCTCTACCACTTGAGCCACTCCACTAGCCCTAATAATATCTGTATGAACAAGAACATTTTCCTGGTGAGTGAAAACAAATGGAACACAGTACAATTATTACATACCAATGCCCAAGGTTGGATCTTTTTCAACAGCATTTGCTAATTATACAACAACTCGTACTCTGTATGAAGGGACAACAGAAAGTTTTCTGGAACCCACTGATTTCTCCATTTCTTTACTATGTTATTTAGTTTAAAATTTTGTATTTGACTGTTAAAATATTTATATAATGAGAATCCCAACAGATCCTTAGTCTTCTTTTATTCTTAGCCAACAAATCCTCAATGAATTAAAAGAATAAAATTTCAAATATCCTTCTACAGAACTGTACTCCTTGGCCCAAAACTATTCCTGTTTTTCTTTAAATCTTGTTGACTAAGTGAAAACCATCCTTCATGCTTAAGTTTCACATAGAGCTCCCAGATCTCACCAATTCCTTCTTGATCAATGTTTATAAAGGCCCAGCACCTTTGCAGAAGTTTTACAGATGATTCCCTCTATCTAGAACACCAGAAGGGACCTTGCTTCCTCTCAATAAACTAGTCATTTCCCCCTTCACTCTGCAAAGCAATGAATGTATCTAGAGTCATGAGAGGAGCTACCAGTTTTTTTCCCTATCCATTATACCGATTGGCAACTTTAAAGAAATTCTTCAACAAAAATATTTTAGTTTCCTTCAATGTGAATGTAAGTCTCACTCCCTAAAACATTCCAACTATTTGGTTCTTCTATACAGTTATTTTTAAGCAATGATAAAGCATGCTGAATTTTAAATGGTATCATACACTTTACAGTGCTAGAACAAGTCTATATCATCAGAGTTTGAGACATATAAATAAAATATTAATCCCACCTATATATTATAAACTCAGGCAAATATTAAGCATACTTAATTTGTTAACTAAGGTGTAAATTATAAAGTCTACAAATAATTGTTCCCAGGAAAAGCAAAATCATAATATTCAAATATATGATTCACAGAGAAGCAATCTTTGTTTCACAGCGAGCTTAGCTTTGGAATACACAAAATTAAAAAATATTCAATGCAGCACCCGTATTACCAATTTATCTTATCTGCTTTTATTGAAGCATGACAGTAACCTTTTTCTTTGACTACCAAACATGACATAAAGCTCACCAAAATATTATTAAATACTATGCATGGTTTCTTGAGCCATATTAAAAGCAAGACTGAAAAACCCCAGGGTTTCTACACAGATTTAGAGATGTTTTTTTTATTTTGTTTCAATTTTGTAGCCTGATTTGTATAAGAAGTGGTTCTGAGCATATGGCATTTTGAAGTAGAGTAATCAAAGAACAAAGGATACTATTTTTTAACATTCAAGAAAGAAGGAAGAAGTAATCAAACCTGCTGCAAAATAATGAAATGTTCTGACTAATGGAATAATGTGTGATGGAACAGGTAGAAATCTGAAAATGCGACAGAAAAGCAGACCTCTTCTTAGAACTAGATGCTGAGTTTGTGCTGACTCCAGGAGGAATGTCGCTATAAAAAGAGTCACCATCTCCAGGCTTTTTTACATAATCTCCCTGGGGTAACTGTCTAAGGCATAATAAACATTTCAGAGTCAGAAAACAAGACACACACATGAACACAGACATATACAATTATTATTTCAGGAAAAAGAGGTAGGGATAATGATCTATATGAATTAAATCTGTAACAACACATAAGATTATTAATAAATGTGACAAGTTAAAGTCATCCTAACTGCAGAGGTCAGAAATGCAGTCACTGAAGTCTTTGTAGTTGGATGAATAAAGCCTTGTTTTAGGGAATAAATATGGAAAGATGAGACTTTTTATTTTCATTTTAACTTCATTATATTTGGAGATGTTAACTGCAGTTTCATCTTATAAAAAATGATGTTGAAGGAGATGTACTTGGACAATGTTTGTCCAGTTTTATAAAGCAGCGGTCTTTTTCACAGTGGCGAATAAATTATTCATAATTTCTAAATATTATATAATGAATGTAACCTTGATTTAGATTTAGAACAATTGATTGAGCTCTAAGGTACTCTATAATTAAGTAAGTCCAAATAAATCTTTAATGCAGATAGTTATTCAGTTTGGAGCTTCATTATTTATTTAAAGAAATATGAAGAAATTGAAAAAGATATAAAAAGGTAATTTTATAATGGTATAGTAGGTTATGAGAAAGAAGACTAAAATTTAGCAAGAGGAAGAAAGAGTTGAAAAGATAACTGAATTTTTGTGGAGACTATGGAAGGTCATTTATGACAGATGATGGGTGACAGTTCTCTGTCTCTACCATAGCAGAAGTGTACAAGAGACGTTTCTTTAATTTGCACTGTCATTGACTTCACTTGTCTCATTTTGAATAAACAAAGATTGGAACAAATTTTTACTACTTCTCTAAGGGTACCAGGTAGAAACTTTCTATAGGATGGACTCCCCAGTCAACCCTTCCAGCAGCCAATCTCATCATTTGCTAATGATGAGAAGCCAATTACATTCAAAATTTGAGCAATTTCATTCAAAATTGTAAGTTGAGGTATTACAAACTAGTGCTAGGCCAAGAATTTTAAATAGAGATATATTATAGAAAAGCACAACTTTCCTAACTCTTCCTATTTGATGTCTATTTAGTTACCACAAAAATCTTGGTTATTTGCCGATGCTAAATTTCATCCCCCTAAAAGCCACTTTCAAATGCTTATGTCATTTTCCATACTGTTGAAAATGTTTAAAATATTCAGTCATTTGTTATTCTGAATGACTGAACATCCTCTCTCATATATTTTGTACAAATCTGAAAAAGATTTTTCAATGTATAAAGGCATGTATTTTAAATTGTGTGATTTAATCTACTTCTCTGTATATTTTTATTGTTTGTTTTTTGAGATAGGGTCTCACTATGTATAGGAGGCTGACCTCAAACTTGCCATGTACCCCAAGCTGGCTTTGAACTCTTAATCCCTCTTGAGTGCTAGAATTATAGACGTTTGCACCACACTCAGCTTACTTCTCTGTATTTACTTAAAGAGGGAATTTCTCACTCAATGAGTTTGAAAGACTAATTCTTCCCATGATTCTTTGATATAGGTTCTCCAAAAGATTTTTAATTTTATTATCACTTCAGATCATAATAGCTATCCTTTCTTTCCCCCAGTTATTATGAAACATAAATTTTATAGGGAAAATAATATAAGCCTCCATATTTATGGTGTTAATGTAGTACATGACAAATAGTGTATGTTCCTGTGCAAGAGATCTTGATCTCTGGAATGTATTTGTTTTATCTCATATCAGTAAGACTCTTTTAGTACTTGAAAAAACTGCCCTCAATAGAATCAGTTTTATATTTTGCCTCAGGATGGAAACTTTCCTTTTATATCAAGTTAGAACTTATAAAAGAATGCTACTGAATGTTCCATCAATATTACATTTAGAATAATCTTTATGATTAATTATTTTTGCTGCTATTACCTTTAATGATGACCTTAATGAGGTGAGGAGGTATGCCTCAAAGAATTCAAATTAAATAAAAACAAGCTATTCTATAAGGGCTCAGAACCACACTTGATCTTTCCTGTTACTCCATTCTCCCAATGACGTTCTCTTTACATGGTTCTAACATTGAGGCATTTACCAGTGCACTTATCAAGGCCTCAGTTGGCTGATACTACAGTGCAAATGGACTGCCTCCCACAATGGAGCCCAGTTTTTGTTTGCCTTTTAACTGAGCACATTTTATCACCTTTTTGATGCAAATTCTCTGCATTTTTAACACAAGCACCCGAAATGCTAATCATATCATGGACTGTGGGCTTCCATAAAGAGTTTAGAAGGAAGTAAGTTTCAGTTCAGTGTACTTCTGGGGCACCATCTCCTTTGATCACCCAGGGCAGATTAGTTTCTTATGTATCTTCACTGTAAAGTGTCCAAAATACAGAAATTACCTCTGCACTCTTTCCAAAGTTGCACAGAAATGGATGCAACTTTCTTTACATGGTAAAGGTTGGTGATTACAAATGTTGCTAAAGATCTCTTAAAAGTAATATTTAACATTCTTCCCTCTCCAGAAATTTATTTTTTAGTTATTCATTTATTTTTTTATTGAACCGGAGTTTGAGCTCAGGGCTTTGCACTTGCAAAGCAGGTGCTCTACTGCTTAAGCTCCACCTCCAGGTCATGTTACTCTAATTATTTTGGAGATGGGATTTGAGAACTATTTGCCCAGGCTGGCTTCAAAGAGTGATCCTTCTGATCTCAGGCATGAGCTACTGGTGCCCAGCTGGAAATTCTTCTTTTTAAAATATTCATTATGTATTTGAACAAACAAACTTCTTGTTCTTGTGAAGATAGGCAGTATCAGGTCCCCATGACCAAAATATAACATTTCATTGTTATGCAAGCCCATAAAACACCAACCTAAACGATTCCCTTAAATTTTTTAAGTTGAACCGTTTTTTCAATCTTTCACTACTTTTATGGTTTTCTTCATAACTTTTTAGTGTTTTTCACATTTCCTCAAATTGGGAACCTAAAAGTGTTTTACCACACTAGGTGACCTGTGCATGTTTTTGGAAACAATAACCAAAAGAAAATAAATGCTATGTAACCACATTCTTTTTCCTTAAAAAAAAAAAAAATCCATTAATTACAGGTTTTTTTTTCTCCCTATTCAAAATTAGGGTTGAATTGATGTATCTTATTAAATAATACTTTTTTTTTTTAAGAGGGAAATTGTCTAGAAGATTGGGGTTGGGGCAGGACCAACTGTTAAAGGCATAAATAATACTTTTGAAGGTATTCTTACTCTCCAAAATGAGAACAACCCCTGTAAGGGGTTTGTAAGTTTGGAGGAGCTGACTTACACAACCTGAATTATTATTTCTAGCCAATCTACAATATTCATGCTTATTGATTGTTTGTTCATAATTATAAATTACCTAGGAAGACTTTCTTGGATCACCCCAAAAGCCTTTCAGTTTGGCTGTTTGTTCTGTTATAAGTCTGATCTTCCCTAAAAGCATCTACCAGTCTACAAAATTTATCTAAATAATCCTTATGCGTATTCTAAATTTAAAAAATGAGAAAAATTCACTAAGTCTTAACCTTAATGTTGAAGGAGACATTTCTCCGATGCCTTATAGGTGGCTGGGTTGTCTTTTATTGAAATTGTTACTTTACTATTTTAAGAAATATTGTTTATGATATACCAAGTCACACTGACCAGTGTGTGAATATCACTGAAATAGTAATATAAAAAGAATGAAGAAAGATTTAGAAAAAAAGTGGGATATCCACAAGTAGAAACTGAAGTGGCTAAAACAGGTGAGAGAGAAAAGAAATGGGGTCGGGGAGGGGATGTTGCTTTAGGTAAAATCAGTGATCAGAAAGATAAGATCTAATTATTTCATTCTTCATTAATCACAGGGATGTGTGCTCCTTTCAAACAAAAGAAAAGAAGATTAGCTAAATTTGGATGTTTTATAAATCTAAGTTTGGTTAATGTTCCTTATTCTATTTCTATTGCAAGCCTTCCTGAAAATTGAAACCTACTGAGAATTCTTATTACAAACCATATGGCTGCTAAAAGAAATTATGCTACTTCTGAAAATAAAATCAGCTACAAAAAATGTGGAGGTTTTCTTTTCTCATTGCTTTTTTTAAAGCTAAACAGCCATCATTGTAATTACCCAATGTCCAAGGCTTTTTCTCCATGGCTCTAGTTTTTACAAGATGATGCCGGCAGATTGCAAGTGATGCTGTACATGTGTGGGCCCTGTTTTCACTTTGCCCCAAATGGGGCTTCTTCGTCGTCTTTATTTATTTATTTATTTTTTTGAAGCAGAACCACTATAGAATTACTTGCCTGTTTTTTCCAAAAATTTGAAAGTTATAACTCATTTGTCATTTCTGAGTCATCACAACCTTAATAAGAATCTGGTAAGTGGCTGAGTATTTATTGTCAAAGCAAAAATTTCATGTTCACCAACACTTTTTGCCAGCTCAAAGGTATGTATGAGCCTCATTCAAGTTGATGACTGCAGCCTCCTTCCTGAGAACATCCACCTCCTTTATTTGAGAATCAGAGAAACACAAAGGCTTCAGAGACCACATACTGCTTGCTACCTTTCCTTCACCATAATGCTTTAAAGCATTATCTTTAAAGATTACAGAGAACTTGATTTGATTTTAGAGTTGAAGAAACTTTAATTTCCCAACGTTATATACAAGTAGATTACTAATTCCTGTCAATTGGTCCTCCCACCACACAACCTCAAAGGAAACTCTAAAGGTAATGGTGATTTCAAATTCTTTTTTAAAAATTTTATTTATTTATTTTTTATTCATCTATTTTTTATTATTATTCATTTATTCAGATGTGCATACATTGTTTGGGTCATTTCTCCCTCCTGACCCCACCCCCACCCTTTCCCCTCCTCCCCCCTCCCTTCCAGGCAGAACTTGTTCTGTGCTTTTCTCCAGTTCTGTTGAAGAGTAGAAATAAGCAATAATATGAAAGACATAGCATTTTTGCTAGTTGAGATAAGGACACCTACACAGAGAGATTCCTAGCACTGCTTTCATGTACAAATATTCTACTTCTTGATATCCTTTGGAACTGGGAAGATATTTATTTGAGTGTCTGAAAATAATTTTATAAGACTGAAAATTTCCCAGTGCATACTTTTGCCTGTTGTCCTGACCATTTTCTTTGTAACTGATAATATATATAGTCAATGAGAGTCTTCAAAATATACTTATACATTGATGACTTTCTGCTGAAAAGGTCGTTCTTTGTTACTCTCCATTTTGAGAACCCTTGTACACACCTAACATTCATTGGCTATGGACAGGAGGAAAGGTTTTGTTGAAATATATCAAAATATATAAACAAATATCCAATGGAGATGGGCTAACTCTCAAAATAAGCACTAGATTTCAAAAAAGAGTAGTCAGATCAATGAAATGATGACTTAGTTAACACCAGGAGATATGAAATTATATCAGGCAAATAAAAGAGATTCATAGTATGAAAATGTTTCTAACTGTACCTAATCATATCTCGTTAGAACAAATAAAAATAAGTTGGTGTGCACTTTTAAATTTTAATCATTTTTGTATAGTGTGGATAATTTCCTTATTCTGGATAGCATCCTAGTGAGAACACATTTTAGAGTAGTTTTTAGCTTTGCTTATGTTATATGTTTGATAATTTTATTCTTTTTTATATTTAGCAGTATTAAATTACAACATAGTTGTAAATTCTATGGAATGGAGCTGAAACATCAGGTTTTTTTATCTTATCAACCTAATTCTATTTTCCACTGAAGAAAGCCACTAATATTAGACTACCGATATGACTAATCAACTTCATCCAACATAAAGCCAAGATAGCCCCAGCTCTACTCAAGTGCTTTTGTACACAAGAATTTATAAGTCACACAGAAACCTAGTTGCTTTAAAAACTTAATCAATTTTGTCTCACAAAATTTTTATCTATTTTTGTCTTTGATTGCTTGTATGGCATCTCTGCTTTTTTTTCTTCCCCCCTTTGCATTACTGGGGTTTGAACTAAGGGCCTCCTACTTCCTAGGCAGACTAGCTACCACTTAAGTCACTCCACCAGCGATTTTTTTTTTCTATTAATACTGAGTTTTAGTTACTCCAGGGCAAGATCAATATTCTCTAACACCTATGCAAACTAGTCAGGATTTCAATTGTGACCTTGAGGGCACCAGGTATTTGTAGATATCATAGATATTTATGGCCAAAGCCATATAGGAGTTTTAAATTATAACATACAAGGAAACAGAAAGTTTAAAATTTTAATTTGTGAAAAAAATGAAAGTTTTGGTTGGAGCCTGAAAAAGCATCAACATACTTATAGTACCTTATTCCTAACCTGCAATAGGCATGAAATAGACCATGGGAAAGTAGCAGGGATCTGCAAAAACACCTTGAGCACAGAACTAATATCATGGTGCAAAACCTGGTCTGGGTTATTAATTTCCAGAATAATATTTCAATTTTTTGTAACAATAGCTAAGAGTAACTTTTAAATGTGGAAAGTGAAGGGTATACTCCAATACTATGTGGCAATTTAAGTTTAGACAAAATAGACAAACTTAAAAAAATGAATATTTTTTTATGTCTTTTTTACAATGTTCGCTAAATGTAGATTATAACATTATGCTAAATAGGGTGTTTGACTTTCTTTATTGACATTTTATTTTTAAAAAGTACAGGACACAATCAGAGATTCCAACTAATTCCTTCTTTAACTACCTTTATAATCACCAAATCAATACAAAAATATTTTCTTATGCAAAGATAACAGGTTCACTAAATGCCAGAATATTCCCCTGATAGCAACAATGTGCCCTGATAAACTTTGTCACTTATGAATGGAAGTTATTAATATACAACAGTAAAAAAGGAAAAATTAATTCTGTCAGACAGTATTTGGCAATAAGAGTGTTATAAACATGAAGAAAAGCCAATAAACTAATGTAAACAAACATGACAACTTAACATAGAAGAAGCTTGTTTTAGATGAAAAATTCAATTTCTATATATAACTGTAAAAACAACAACACAATTTAAAATTATTACTTCAAGATTGTGAAAAATCAGGATCAATGTAGCATAAAGCCAAAGTGAACTTGACTTATAACTGCATGTATGAATTCCAACAATGCTTCTAGGGGTTAAATCTTTTAATTACATTTGGATTATTCTTATCACATACCTCTGTTCTCGGTAGTTTCTTTTCATGGACAACAAGAAAGAAGGGAAAAACATAAGAATTAGTTACCTATAGAAGCACAATAACAGAAGCATTAAACATACAAGCTCCAGCATTCACTGAAAGGTCCTCATGACAGGAGTTTGAATTTTTGAGTTACAAAATTAAAATGGAGAATATACACAAATTTTCACTTTATCACTAGAAAAGGTGACACCCAAGGATTAGTGACAATATTATCAAATAATTATCCATTTTTAAAAGCATAATTAAGTTGTCACCATAAAAAAGTAACTGTTGTGTCAATAATAGTTGTAATACACTAAACATTGTTAAATGTTCTAAAGTCACTCCTAGTTTAAATATGTTTTCAGACATATATGTTGATTAGAATCATAAAACTGATTAATCAAATTACTTACATTAACTGTATTTTCATAGAAATTAGTCATAACTTATTCCTATTGGAACACAAGGTATACAATTATAGCTATTGCTAAGAATTTTGAAGAAGAAAACAAAAATGCACCCCAAAATACTTTATTTCATCACGGATGATAATAAGAATGAGTGAATATATGGCTGTTTTGGATCTCCTTAGTCATTACTACTCACTGAACTTCACATGCATCTGTTCAATATATCTGTTCAAATATATTTAGCCTCTTTTTTTAACAGTTCAATATATTTAGCCTCTTTTTTTTATTTGTCCATATGCTAAAACAAAATTCCATGAGTTTAAAAATTAATTGATCTTAAACAAAAATTTGTTGTAAAGGGCATGATAGGCAGTACCAGTGACATCTTTTACAAAAGAGTTAACCTTCTATCTCAATACAATTAGGTGTTAAAGACATAGGAGAAAGACCAAGTGATTAAGTCCTTCTGAGCGCTTTCCCCTAAGACCAAGGATAATGTTTGCATATGGATTTTGGTTGCAGCCCCTTTACCTGACAGTCTATTCCACCTACATCGTAATGCTCATAATAAGCACATGAGGGTGAAAGTGTCAATTTGCTAGCATTTTCCATTCTGGAAACTATCAGATGAGGGAGATATAAACTTGGTATCTTTCTTTTCAACATGTTTTGCTTCTTATTCCCCAGTCTGATTACTTGGGTCTATAGTTTCAAATGAGTATCCCTCATTTTCTATTGCTCACTCCAAGACTTGGAGAAGGGGCAAAAAACTTAGTTGGAAAAACTAATGAGTAAATGAGTTTGCAGGTCCTAAGTCTGTTTTTGAATTTCAAATACAATAGGGGAAAGATCGAATTCATAAATTTAATCCCTCTAATAAAATTTCTTAATTCTCATTCTATTTCTAAATGTATTGTGAATAATTTTAGAAGCACTAAAACTTTAATCATTTAGGTTCAAATTATTTATAAGGGGATACTGCAAAATGAACAAGATTTCTCTTTTTCCCTACTCTACCTGCAAAATATATGTATTCAGAAATACTATAAAGGTAAACCCCAAAAGAAACAAATAGAAAACAGGTTGCTTCATATAGACACAAGCAATAAGTGTTTAAGTTTCATATTTTCTGGAGTATGTTTTTCCAAGATTATAAGAATGAAATATCCAATTCCATCAGTAGGTGGCAGAAAATCACGTTTTAGAATTAACAATTTTTCTTTCCATTTTCATGTGACCAAATGAAATCACTGAGCTATTTCAAAACAGCAATGCTTGCCATGGCAATTACTACATTAGGAAATTTAATAGTGCAATTCCCAGATAGAACTAATTTGTCTGCAGCATGAAGAGATATCAAATCATATAGAGAAAAGCTTTCCTTTCAGATATATAATTTTATAATTCCAAATGGTATGCCAAAGTCAGACTGTGTAAATGTAAGTGTATGATATACCTAATGATCTGCACATCAAAAAGGTCCATAGGTATTGAGCATCTGCTTTGAACTGGCACAGGGCTAGGTGTTGACTTAATCAGAGCAAAGCTTACAACTAAGATGAGTGCTCCTTTACTGTGTTATGCCATATAAACTGCACCATGTTATACTTGATTATGCTGTCTGTGCTTCTTATCAGTATAGTCTTTCACAAATTCATTCTGCATTTTTAATGTTTGTGGCATCTGAAATTTCTTCTGGCAGTAAACCTCTTTTCCCTTTTCAATCAAAGAACTTTTAAGGTTTTAACCTCACAAGCAATTATTATATACATTTTTAAATGGTGTATATGATTCAGACTTTGATTCAGTTGGTTTAAGATCATGTCAGGTAATAATAATCAGAGCAAACAATTAACATATTGTTTTTTGTGGCCCAGGCACTAATCTGAATGCTTGACATATATTAAGCTACATAACAAAGATGAGTCCATTGAAAGGTATGGGACAATTTTAAATCTAAAATATTCTAATTCCCAGTGTAGTGATCTAAGTTTGATCCACGAGGAAAAATATGATGTGAAATAGGTAGTGTCTTCCAAATGAAGAAAAACTTGAGACCGGTAGACTCTCATCAGAGACCAGCCAAATACAACTTTAAGTTGAAATGTTAAAGAGAACTGTTATAGTTTGGATCTGAAATGTACCCTAAAGTTCATGTGTTGAAGGTTTGGTCCCCAGCACAGCAGTGTTCAGAGGAGGGTTCTGAAAGATGACTGGTCAGGATTCTGACATCATCATTGGAGTAATCCATTTGTGGATTCATAGCAATAGATTAGGGAGGATTTGGGAGCAATGGATTAGGAGGAGGATTTTTATTATAAAATCAAGCTCTCTCCTTTTTCTGGCTGGCAGACATAAGGTGAGTATCTTAGCTCTTCCACATGCTCCCTACCATTGTGTTCTGCCTCACCACAGGCCCAAAGCATTAGAACCATGAACTAAAACCTCTGACACAGTGAGCCAAAAGAAACATTTCTTCCATTAAGTTGTTTTTCTCAGGCATTTTGTTAGTGACAGAATGCTAGCTAACATAAGAACTAAAAGTCACCATATTTCAGTTTTAACTTATTAAACTTAAATTAATAACTTCATACTAAAGAAAATTTTCACATCATAAATACTTAAAAATGAAATTGAACATATTAAGTACAGAAATAAGGCCAGAATGTTTGAAGGCATTTTCTTAGAAAATGTTTAACAGTATCAAATATTATATAACAGTAATATGAATTTTAACATTTTAAATTTTAGAGAGAACTAAAAAGTTTAAGTTGAACTTTGAAGCTTAACAAGGAATTAGGATTTTAAAATCTCAATATGAAGTTAAATTTTAATTTTAACAAACTAAATTTCACAGCAATCTTTTCTTCACACAAAAACACTCATACATTTAGCAAATATTTGTGCCTCCTTCATAATGGCTTATGAGAATAAAGGTGTTTGACCTCAGGTGATGCAAGGACACAGAAAGTGCTCACTACCAGATCTTCTACCATGGTTCTGTTGATGCAGCTGTAATTGATGAAGTTGTTATTAAGGCATCAAATCTAACTGGCTGTCTTGCCTAGATTTTGAGTATGTGTTGAAGTCAAATCTGTCACCAAAGAGCAGAGCCACCCAGACTTCATCTAAGACACAATTTACATTGGTTTTAATTCACCTCAGTGATATTAAAACTATTCTGTAGTTAGAAGAGAGTGTCCCAAAATCTAAAATAGGATAAATTGTCATCACTTCTAACTAAGCCGAGGGTACTCATTGAATGTTTTGTTAGTCCAGGTTTTTTTTGTTGTTGTTTTTGTTAATTTATTTGTTTCTGGTAGGACTAAGGATTGCCAGCAAAGGCTGCCAAGGGCTCTACCACCTCAGACATGCCTCTAGCCCAAACATTGACTGTTAAGCCAGACTGATTTTCAATACAAGTATATTTTTATCCAATGTTACAAAATTGTCTAGATATTTTCATTTAATCAACATGCTTTAAAGTACATTCTTACAGCAACAGTACCAAGGCATTTCACTTACTTATAACCCCAAGCAGTTATTCCTAATATGAGAGCCAGCACTAAAATGGTGCCAGCAATTATCCCTATAATGATATTGGTACCAGCAACACCTGCAAAGGAAAAAAAAAAAAAAAGGAGGATGATTAGTGATACAAAATTCTCTCAGGATCTTTATTCTCCAGATTTGTAACCATCACACTCACAACATTATTTGTTTTTTTAAAAACAAGTATTTTTCAAAGGAAAGAGAAATCAACCATAACACAGCAATCTGGTTTTTGTTTTGTTTTTGTGGTACTGGATTTTGATCTTAGGATCTCACGCTTACTAGGCAGATGCTCTACCACTTGAGCCCTCAGTTTGTAGCTGACAGTCTGGGCAATGAGAGCTGTGACATCCTAGAGAAGGAAAACACAAAGAAAAATGGTCTGGTGAAGCTGGCAACCCATGCTGGCAAGGCAGAGGGACAGGCAGGCAGAATGCAGGGCAGAGCAGAAGCTAAGGAGTCAGTGATGGCATCCGTTGTCAGACAGCCTGAGATCCATGTCCTCAAACCCTTTCAGGCAACTTGGACAAAGCTTGCTACTTCTAGTTCAGATTAAAGAAGTGGGGTTGAATGTTGGTGAGATTCTCTAACAAAAATATTAAGTATTTAAAAATCGACTCTTCAATTATTTTTTCTTATTTATTCAGTCTATAAATTAAAATTCTCTCTTTAAATTGAGTATTTTCTTCATTTAAAAACAATGCTACAGTTTGTTGACAGCCTCAGATAATAAGTAGAATACTTGAAATATCTCTGAAGTAGGACATAAGGTTAAAATCAGAAGATGCAATAAAATCATCACAATTTAATGAAAATGATCAGTTTCATTATTACATAAATGTAATTTATTTTGAGTTATCATAACATTAACTCAAATAAAAATCTCCAAAGGGCAGTTTTCTCTTTCCTTGTGTAAGATGATGTAAGAATGCCAAATGCAGTACCTACCATTGCCAGACAGAATGATACCAGTGTTTCCATCATCCTTGTGAGGGAAGTAAGTGTTGCAGTCTGCACCTATCCAGTCCCTATTACATACACACTTGAGTTCATTACTGCAAACCTGAAATCCAAAATCAAGCTAGCGTAAACGTCAATTGTATGGCAAAAAGGCATAAAGAATACGCATTATTTTTTTAATTACTATAACGCTTAGTGTTTAATGATACTGAAAAATTACTGGTACTTTCTTCTTAATACTAATTACTTTATCTCTCACTCCAGTATCTAAAAATTGTTTTTCTAAAGAGTTAACAATTGACCTATAGAGAACAATGAATTTTAACACAGAAATTAACCAATACCAAAAAAAATCATTGCAATTATTATTTTGACTTTTATTAACTTAAATGTAATGAGAAAACTAAGCAGAAATACAAACATCTGACAATTATTCTATACAGTGTTTTTTTTTTTGCCTTCCCAAAAAGGGTACTTACACCAAAATTTTACTAATTTTTCAGGAAGTAGAACAAGATAAAGGAAAGTTCAACAAAGACATGAGAAGGCCTGATGTTTTACAGTGCTCTCAGAAGAAAGCTGCCCAAGGCTACAACTCTGGCATCTCAGCCTGAGCCACAGAAACTAGCAACCCTGTCAGGCTCATGGGAACTAAGAACTCTCACAAATAAAACAGAAAAAAAAAATCACAAAAAAACGACACCAGATTCTTTTAAAGGGTAGAAAATAACCTCTCTCCGTTGAGCTATCTGGGAGCAGAATCCACACCTAGAGTTTATAATTCAAAACAACTGAATGGAGCAGAAAGTAGGAGGGAGTGAAGTTAGGTTTATGATCAGTAAAATTCCTCCAGAGGCCGGTGTTTACTGCAAGGTGTTTCCAACTTATCTGATCTAATTTTCCAGAAGATAACATATAACCACATTTAAATGTAACTATAAAATAGCCCCATTTGTCAGTCACCAGTGGTTCATATCTAAAATCCTAGCTACTTGGGAGGCTGAGGTCGGGAGAATCCTGTTTCCAGGCCAGCCTGGGCAAATAGTTCTTGAGAGCCTATCTCCAAAATAACCAGAGGAAAATGGACCTGGAGGTGTGCCTCAAATGGTAGAGCATCTACTTTGCAAACACAAAGCCTGGAGTTCAAACTCTAGTCCCACCAAAAAAATAAAATAAAATAAAAATAAAAGAGCCTCATTAGGAGCTGAAGATTAACAATTATACAGTAAAAAGAAAGGATTAGCCAGGATTTGATGTCTCCACTTCACTACTGTTTTAACAGGTAACATGGCTTCTCTAAGCTTCAGTTTCCATATCATATGACAGTACCAATAACATAGTGACAAGAATAGACAGGGATACCAATATATAGTGAAGATAGTAAATAGCATGGCTAACATTTATTGAATACTCAATATGTCCCAGGCATTGTTTTAAGTGCATTACAAGTATTAATTCATGCATTCTTTCCAATAACACTATAAAGTAGGCCCCATTATACTCATTTTACAAAGAAAGAAACTGAGTCACAGGGAGGTAAATTCGCATTGTCACCCAGCTAGTAAGAAGTGATTCAAAGCCATCTGACTGCAAGGTCACACACTTAATTACATGATGTACATTACATACTTCTTGTTTTAATTTTTTGTCATATACATATTTGAGTTACTGTACTTTAAAATTTTTT